CATGTACTTGATCAAAATAGAACCTTTCAAAAACAAATCAAGACAAAACAAAACAAATCCGGACAAATAAAGACAAATAAAGACAAATAAAGACAAATAAAGACAAATAAAGACAACGACATACAAAAATAAGGTTTTGGGCCTTTACTGTTAAACTCTCCATAATCTAAACCCCCCCAATCTAGACCGCCGCAACCGGACAAGGAATTTAGGCCCCTATGGAAGCCCCCGTGTCACCACTTTAGACAGCAAGGTGCTACTCTTGACGCTGGGAACAGTGATCGGATCGGCGATTTATTTCCTAGCAAGACAAAGCCAATCGTGGAGGATCGGCATGTATGCACCTTGTTTCATTCTTGCGTGTCTGAGTGTGTACGGGGAAGGGTGTAGGTGTAGAGTGGCGGGAGGGGGTGTTGCCTTCAACCGTTTATCCGGCGGTTGCCGGAAGTTACTTTAAGTGTCTTAGGATAGACCGGGGGCATATCGGGGGTATGTTAGGGTATATGAGGAGTACTGCACTTTGTTCGTTTCACTAAAAGTTTCGCCTGTTCTTGTTCTATGGCGGGACCTTTCCATAAGGCACTGCCAACCATCCCGATGATATTCATCGTGCACACCAACCGGAAGTTCATGAGAGAGAAGCATCAGCTCACAGAAGCTTTGGAGACGTTCCAACTGAAGAACGCAAAGTGTTCGCTGGAGTCTGACCGGGCGTTTGTAACATCAGCTATCATTGCCTGGTATGGAAGTGAGGATGCCTTCACAGCTTATGTCCGGGGCCCGGTACGTTTGGAGCTACAAGAAGCAGCACGGGCAGATGTTCCTTTGAGCTATGGACTGCTTGTGGCCGCAAGCCCTTGTACCCTGGGCTCTTGTTAAGGGACCTAATTTAAGCTACCATGAAGAAACCATATTATTTACTATAGATCCCTATTATGGCATTATTCCGGTAACGTATATTAAATCCCTCAACAAGAACTTAGAACCCAGGTACCCTGGCCTTGGATGTGGCTGCGGCCATGATCCAGGGGGGAGCGCCCCTCGATGCTCTGATCTCTGAGTCCGTAGCCTCAGGACTTGGCTTTGCACTGAGCTCGATCCTGCTGTCTGTGACTTAGGAGCCCAATCGGTAAACTTGAATTGTTTTTGGTATATTAAACCCCTACTAAAAGAAAAGTTTAAACTTTTTTGGGCCAGGGTACTGGGCAGCTAAGGTGAAGATCACATGGTGGCTTTGCTATCGCTTTGCCTCCCCCGGATCGACGCGGCTCCTTGATTACCTCAAGACCCTTACGGTTTTCTGTGTCTTTTGGATTATCTTTGGCATCGGCTCTTTTCTCTCGAATTACCTGGAAAAAACGACGCTGTGGGGAGCCATGGCTTTTGGCATAGTCATGTTTTTTCTTACCGTCGTGGCCTATGCTCCTCCATGGCGGCCATGAAAGGAAGTTTCCATTGTGTCTCGCACCTCTCAGAAGGCTTGTACGGGTAGGTCGGAATAGATTACGATAGGAGCATCCCTTGTAGTCCTTGCACGAATCTATTAGAATACGTCCCAAACCCCCATTCTAAATAGCAAGGCCCCAATAGGATACCCTTATGGTAACCCTCATAGCAAGCCTTCATGGAGTCCTTCAGACGGGAACCTTAAAAAGGGGGCCCTAGAGGGCTGCCTCCTTCTGCGATTTTTTTGAAAAGAGATTTTGGAAAGAGAACCCCAGTGGTCCAGGGAATCCAAAAAAACAGCGACTTAGGTTTCGGATGTGGGAGAGTATATGAGTATTACGCATAGGCCCCTAAGTAGTTCCTTTTAGGGATTACTTTCCAGGATTGATTCTAAATATAAACCACAAAAAGGAACTACTTAGGGGCCTATGGGTAGGGTAGGTGCCTTGGACCCTAAACCCCTAAACCCTAAACCCTACAGATCCTATAGACCCCTTTAAAGGAACCCTTTAAGGAACCCTTTAAGGAACCCTAAACCCTAGTAGGTACCACCCTAAACCCTAAATCCTTTAAACCCTAAGCCCTAAACCCTAAATCCTAAACCCTATAAACCCTATAATCCCAAAAAAGGAACTACTTAGGGGCCTATGGGTAGGTGCTTTGGACCACTGGGAGGAACCTGGGGCCTTCCAAGGTTCCCAGCCCAGTTTCTCTCTCTCCCGACATCCCACAACCAGGCGGTTCGGATGAAGAGCCGAAACCCTAGGGTTTAGGGTTTAGGGTTGAGGGTTTAGGGTAGCCCGAAACCCTTTAAAAAAAAACCTGCCTTAACCTAGCATTTGGCAGGTTCTTCTTCTAAACCCTACTATGGAATAATCGGTCGGGACCCTGCAAAAAAGTATGTTCTTGTAGGCTAAGGCTTAAGGTAAACCCTCGTCCCTTGAAACCTCAACCCTAACCTTAATCCCTGAAGCCCCAACGTTCTAAACCTTTAAACTCTTGACCAGAAACCTAGGCCGTGGCCCGAAACACTAGACCATTCCATGATCTTAACCTTTTGTACGGTCCCTCTAACTTCCATTGTACGGGTTTCTAACACAAGCCTACAGACAAGTAAGGTACAGAGGTAGTTTCCACGAGTTGGCGAACCCCTACTTTGACGTACTCCCTACGGAAAACTTTGCCTGGAAGAGTTGCTGGAAGCTATCACTACAGAAGCCTGGTTTAGGATTTAGGGTTTCGGGGTTTAGGGTTTACGGATATCAGCAAAATTATTCCTTGGCGTTCCTCCATATAGCTATACCCATAGACCCCAAAGCAGTTCCTTTGTGTGTAAGATCCTATAAGGTAATCCCAAAAAAGGAGCTACTTAGGGGCCTATAGCTAATATAGTTCAATATTCCGCAGAACCCTGCATTACCTCACCGCTGACAGGTCGGTCGCTCGCTTGATTGAATCTAGGTTAACCCAGTAGACCAAATGGGCTACTTCTCACTAAACCCCTAAACCTCTAAACCCCTAAACCCCTAAAGCCCTCAACCCCTAAACCACTAAACCCCTCAATCCTAAACCCTAAACTCTCGTTCGTCGTCCCGCCTCCGTGTCCCGCGGCCCGCATCGCGGCCCGCGGGCCAAGGCCTGCAGCGTTTCACCTGGGCTCGAATGCAACATCTCATGGTTTCACGCTGACTAGATTATGGTAAACCCCAAAAAGTTGGAAACCGGATTGGGAAAAATTAGTGTTGGGATTGCTTATACATTACTCTTAGAGATTGAGGCTATTGGGTTTCCAACTTTTGGGCTTCTACTATAATGTAGGCCCCTGAAAATGTTTAGGTCCATTAGGGCCTTTAGATGGTTATTACTCAGGGGCCTGCATTGTGGGGGCAACTTCAACCCCTGATGCGGCTTTGCAGTGGGAAAAAGGTTTCAGGGCTTAGCCCTAAACCTTAAACCCTAAGCGCCGAAAGACTGAATCCTAATCCCCTACACCCCTAAGCGCTAAACCCTTAAGGGCTTAGTGTGGACAGTTGGGGTTTCGGGGGAGTTTAGGGTTCTTCGGATTCGAATTCTAGGGTTTATAGGGTGTAGGCTTGACATAGGGTTTAGGGTGTAGGCTTTAGGGCTTTAGGGTTTAGGATGTAGGCTTTGGGGTGTAGGCTTTAGGGCTTGTGGGTTTAGGCTTGTGCGCCAAGACTCTAGGGCTCGTGCATGAATGCCTCAAGATGTCTGGCCTAGTCTAGGACATTTTCAGGTGGGTAGTTGCCGTTATAGGAGCCTTATAGAAGGTCTATGTACCTTATAGAAGCCTTATGGAAGCCCTATATACCCTAAACTCCCCACCTGTAGTTTCCTTTAACCTAGAACCCTTACAGTAAGCGTATAGGACTAGGAGCCCAAAGTGGAACATCGGAGGACAAAATGCAAGCTTCTGGAGAGTGTCGTTGTGTGTTGGTTTTTATAGGGCCTTGAGGGATGAGGGTGCGGGGGGCTTGGGTTTAGGGTTTAGGCGTTTAGGACTACAGGGTTTACAGGGTTTAGGGTTTGCATCCCCTTGTTCCTTGCTGTCTCATCTTGGATGGCCTCTAATATCCCGAATTAAAGGAAACTACAGGTGGGGAGTTTAGGGTTAAAGCGGGCTTCTATAAGGCTTCTATAAGGTAAAGAGACCTTCTATAAGGCTCCTATAACGGTAGCTACCCACCTGAAAATGTCCTAGACCTAAACCCCCAAGCCCCAAAACTCTAAACGCTTCCCGCCGTGCAACAAATTTCTTGAAGCTTTCATCGAAAGTCTTGGGCGCTGGATCTGTGTTCACGTCTGCGGGGCAGGGTCTTCTTCTAGGGTAGTGTTTAGGGTTTAGGGTTGTAAACCCGCCCCTCCACGTCCCTGGGCTTATTGAAGTAGCAGATAGCAATATGATAGCAACCCCTAAACCCGAATCCCTGAAACCCTGAACAGTAATCCGTAAACCCTAACGCCCCTGAAACCCCTAAACCCTGAAACCCCCTGAAACCCTAAACCCTCAATCTCGATAGCAGGGGCTTTCGATTCGTTTGAGTCTCTCAACTGGTCCCCTCTCGTGCCTCTAGGATCCCTTGTGCTGTAAGAAAGACCGCCCTTTGAAAGATTTCAGGATGCTGATAATTTCCCAATCAATCTCACCAGAGCAGCATAGCAGTACTTAGTAAGTACGCAAGATCCAACCTAAACATGACATTAACGCATCACGTGTCTTTCATCGCAGCTGAATAACCAAAAAGGGTTTACGGAGTATGGGAGCATATTCGAATTATTAAGGCCCCTATATTAGACGCAGACCCGTCCTTTATTCCTGGCCATGGATGCAGACATTCAGGCTAGGCGCAGTTCCCTGCAGCTGCCATTCTGCTTCCAGGAGAAAGAGCTACTTCTGACGATCCAGCTGTATGAGGCTACTGGGTTCTTGTTAGGGGATTTTATTTAAGTTACCATAGTTAGGAAACCCTGTTATTTACTATAGATCCCCATATTATGATAACTTAAATTAGATCCTCAGCAGTTTGGGAGTGCCCTTCTTGAATATGTTTTGGATCCCTTAACACTTGGTTCCTGAGTAGTACCCTTTTGCCCTTTTTAGTGTAGAGTTCCCCTAATAAAACAGAATACCAGGAAAAAGGGTACCCTTATTATTTACGGGTCATTCAGGAACCTAGAACAAGAACCCAGGCCATGGAGCTCCGGCAGCAGGAGCTTCGTGCCAAAGCAAGGCCCCCAGAAGCGATCTTCACGCTGCTGGTAGGTTCCGTCCTCGTGGAAGTTATGGCCTCGGACAGGGTCTCGACGGTCATCGAGCAGCTTGCCAGAAGGATTGGAGCGAACTCGGCCTTAGTCAGCATCACCCAGGAGGGCCAAGACTTGCCGAAGGAGGCGACTCTCTCGGAGCTCGGAGTTTCAGCAAGCTCCAAGCTCTCTTGCAGGCTGCAAGGTTTCCAAGTGTATGTCAAGATGCTGACAGGAAAGGCTCTCACCTTGCAAGTGGAAGGACTACCTGGTTCTTAGTGGGGAATGTGGGAATGGATCCCCTTAAGGTCCCCTATAATAGTAGCCCTATAATAGTAGTCCCAAAAACCCATTCCTCCATTCCCTACTAAGAACCAGTCAGAGGAAGTGACACCATCGGCAACTGTAAAGAATTGCTCTGGCGCCGGGAAGGCTTCCCTCCCGTACAGCAGCGCCTGATCTTCGCCGGGACGCAGCTGGACGACGCGCGGACTGTGGCAGAATGCGGCATCGAAGCGGAGTCATCGCTACATTTGGTCTTGCATTCGGGTTGCGGGAAGTGCGATGAGATCCTGGGGCGGCAGGGCTTCGAAGTGCTGTCTGACAAGATCGTCTTCGAGGATGGAAGTTCCTGGAATCTCGATGGTGGTTGGGAGACTTAGTAGCTGAATGGCTGCACTTTTTAACTTTTTGGGAGAATATAACCCCCTATGAAACCTGCAGGTGTACACTTGTTTTGGGGCTTATGAGCTCAGAAACTAAGGACAGGCCGCCGGCCAACAGCGATGATGAGCAAACGCGAAAGATGTCGTCGTTTTCCTCCAAGGAAGAGATGCTCTGTACCACTTTGGCTTTTTGTCGTCTGTGCACTCGAAGATGTAGAACTCCCGCTGAGCATGAATAGAGCAACACCGAAGATGGTGCACTAGCCTTAAGCATCCCATGCGCGTTGAACCCTTGCAACGAACCCCAGACCCTAAAGCCCTATATGCCCCATAAGCCCGAAACACTGAAGCCTTGAACCCTAAAGGCTCAAACCCTAAAGCCCTAAACCCTAAAAGGCTGAAGCCCTAAAGCACTAAACCCTAAAGCCTTAAACCCCAAATCGCCCTAAAGGCACTATACAGGCCCCAAAGCCTTAAAGCCATAAAGCGCAGTTTGCAGCTCAGACTTAGGATGCTTGGCGTTTTCCTGGTCGGATCTTAGGACTTTAATTTTTGGGTTTCTATATGAGCTATAATAAGTAGGCTAAAAGTTTAACCCTAAACCCTCAAAGCCCAAAACCCTAAACCCTAAACCCTAAAGTCAGCCAAGGATGGTGAGCTTCCTGGCGTCAAATCGCATCGAGTTCTTGCGTCAGCGGATGGAGCAGGTCAAAAGACGAGTCTTTCTCTGAAGTAGGGTCCCTTTAAGGGACTCTCCTTTGACGGTTTAGGGTTTAGGGTTTAGGGACTAAAGGAAAGACCCTTAAAGGGACCCTTGGGGTTTTTGTAGGGGCTTTATGAGACTATATAAGGGGTATATCAGGGTTATATTAGGGTCCCTTTTTGGGGGGTTCCTTAAAGAGATCTAAAGGACTTCTACAGAGTTCCTATAAGGGTTTCTTTCTGTATTAGTTCTCTAAATTAGGGTCCCTTTTAGGGGTGTGGTTTAGGGCTTAGGGTAGTTCACGCGTCTTTCTCAAAGGCAGGGTCCCTTTTTAGGGCTCGTAGGGTCCCCTTTCGGGGGTTCCTTAAAGAGATCTACAGGGGCTTCTATAGAGTTCCGATAAGGGTACTTAGTAAACCCCAAAAAGTTGGAAACCGGATTAAGGACAATTAGTGCTGGGACTTTTTTTTGACTCTTAAGGATTGAGGCTATTGGGTTTCCAACTTTTGGGCTTCTACTGTAGGAGTTCTACATGAGTCTTTCTCTAAAGTAGGGTCCCTCTCAGGGTGCCGTACTTTTTTAGGGGGGGCCTAAAAGGGGACCCTAAATTTAGAGAACTGCCCAGAAGGAATCGGGTGCATCAAAACGGGGGATGAAGGTGGGTAGGATTAACAATCCCTTTAAAACGGACTCTTCTGTTTTGGATCACCCCACCTACCTTCATCCCACCTTTACAGCCCTTTGAAGCAATCGCGAAGTCAGCAATGAAGCTGAGCTCTGAAATACTAGGGTCCGGTTCCCCTAAGGGTTCCTTTCAGGGATTGTGTACTTAAAGGTTCTATCATGGATATAGCGGTCCGAGTAATTAGCAATAGTATCTTCATTTAAATTAGCCCCTAATGTCTCATGATTATACTGTATTAAGCCATAGTACACCACAAAGCGCCAACTCTAATTGGGGTCTAAGATTTTGTGTGTAGGGATTGATGGTTTAAGGTTCTGTGGTGCCGAAACTATGCGTTGCACTTTTTGGATCTTGTTTCTATTTAAGAAATGTTATTGCCATTGCATACCTAAACGAAACACGCTACACCACTAATCTTGCAGCCTTGCAGTTTAGAGTTGTTGGTCATTGTTTGTTGTCAGTATCCAGACGTTGATGCCCAGAGCGGTTTCTACGTTCAGGAATCATGGCTGTATCTACCTGTTTCATGCATGTGCGACGGAGGTATAAAGATATAACGGCTGTATATGTATATACTTACATTCATTTACTTATTCTTACGTATTTGTTCGTATGTATATGAACTCCTCATCACTGCTTATGTAAAACTAAGAGCATTGTGGAAGGATAAGGTTGGAACGGGACCAGAGCTCACTTCGCCAGTCCTGGTGTTAGCTGTGCAGACGAGGCACCAAGGGCGGATTGAAACTTCTCTCTCGCATTGAGCGACAGGAGATTGGCGCGACTGCGTTGTCGCAAGAAAATCTCATACTTCACCCTAAACCGTGAACCCCAAACGCCACACCCTAAACTTGATACTTGGTACAGCTGCCCCTTCAGAGTCCTGCTATGGATAATATATATATATATATATGCTACGACGTATCCCGAAACCCGACTCTAAACTGTCAAGGACCCGCTATATTATTCCGGGGTTTTTGGGTAGTTCTCTAAACTAGGGCCCCCTTTGTAGGTCCCCAATATAGTACGGCACCCTTATAAGAAGGACTCAAAAAGGGACCCTAATTTTAGAGAACTACCCATATACAAGGCAGATGCCTATAAGCAATAGGCTTCGCTGGCTCGTGGACTCTTCTCCTATGTTTTCCAGAAGTACCCTTGTGCCCTTTTTCTTTCTGCCCCGAGAACCCAATACCCCTTAGTTAAGGAATATACCTTAAATCCCCTATAATTTGAGGTATATTCCTTAATTACGGTGTATTGGATTCTCTGGGTGGGTTCCCTTACCAAAACCAGATAATAGAAAAAAGTATCTTTTTCTTAAGGGTCTACTCGGGATCACGTTGAAACCCTAATCCCAAAACCCTAAACCCCTAAACCCTAAGCCCTAAACCCTAATTGATTGGCTCCGCGACACCGGAACTTTGGTCTCTTGTAGGGTCCGATTATGGATTGGCACGATTCTTGAAGCTTGCACTTGTACTGTTTCAGGGTTCAGGGATTTAGGGTTTAGGGATTCAGGGGTCTAGGGGTTTAGGGATTTAGGGATTTAGGGGTTTAGGGTTTAGGGTTTAGGGATGGGATCTGCTGGGTTTGGGGCTGAGATTTGCGGACCCACGATTCGAGACAGGGAAGACATGATAACCCCCCAACCCGTTTTCAAACTCCTGGTTCAGGGTTAGGGCTTGTCGTGTTTAGAGCTGTATTCTGAACTCTAGGTTTCATTGTTGATCCTCAACGGCTCGAGTACTGAGTTTGACCCGTACTCAATATTCGAATTTCTGATGTTGGGTTGAACCCTAAACCCTATACCCTAAGGGGTTAGACAAGTTGCGATCCTGCTTATCCCGTGTACTGAGTTTAGGGGTTTAGGGTTTGGGGTTTAGGGGTTTAGGGGCTTTTGCTGTCCTACCATAATCCAAAGCGTTAGCCTTCTTTGGCGGAGAATACTTAGCCTCTCAGTAAGTTGAAAAGTCTCCCTAAACCCTAAGCCCTAAACCGGTTGAACTTGTCAGGGCACCCAGAGCACCCCAAGCCTTGAGAGTTTTGCTTGAGGGTTCCTTAAGGACGAAATGAACCCCAAAAGGGTTTAAGGTTCATATACCATATAGGGGTTCATAGTATAAGGGTATAAGGCCCCTACTTATAAGGGTCATTTGG